CACCGGCAGGCGTGAAATCCCGCACCCCGACCCGAGGGCAGGTGCACCCCGAAACCTGCGGGGTCTGCGTGTCGGAGGTCTCGCCCGGACCCTCGAGACCCCCGAGAAGCTTGGCCCTGATGGAGGGGGGTCCTCGCTCCCCAACGGGCGAGCCCCCCAAAACGTGGAGGGTCAGATCGGGCGTTGGGGATGGGAACGCCTGTCCCCGCGTCCCGCTCGCCCCGCGGGAGGGCAGAGGTCCGGCCGGCTGTTAATGAGATCCTGTTTGCTCATTAATGAGAAACCAGGCGGCATTTCCCTAGGGAGCCTCCTCCTCACCCTCGGCCCCGTGCCGCGCTCTGCCAATTTACAACCTGCCCATCCGCGTTTTCCGATCCGGTATTTTATATAAAACCTCCCCAGAGGGGCTCGGGGTTTCCCGGCTGCCCGCGTCCCGCCGGGCTCTTCCCCTGCCGTTCACCTCCCGGTGCCATTTTCTGCCCCTTTACCTGCTGCAGGGCTCGTTTTCCCGCCCCGAGGGGGAAAGGGGTCCGTGAACGGGCACGTGCTGTGTGAGCGGGCTGTGTTTGGACACGGTGCGTGGCGGTCGGGCGTCTTCCAAGCAAAATGGTGCCGGGGCTTTGGTCGTGCTCGGGTGTGATGGACTTTGGGGGTCGGGGAAGAGCCTGTCCTGGAAAGGAGAAGCTGCTACTCAACTAAAAATACCCGATTTCTCCCTGCCCCGGCTCTGGAGCAATTCCTGATTTGCGTTTGAACCCAGCAGGGTCGGTTCTGCATCTCCGGAGCCAGTAGCGACCCACGGCCTGCAGTCTGGAGCCCATCTTGCCTGGCCTCTGGGCAGCACAGCCAGGTCAGCCGTGCGGTGGCTTCGGCTGGGTAAAAGTCACCCTGGAGGAGGACGGTGTCCCCTTCCCAAGGCACGGGGCCAGCCGGGCTGGCCGTCATGCAGGCTGCTCGCCCTCCTTGCCGGGACAGGCTCCGGCCGCCCCCCTCAGCAGCTCTTCTCTGTATGAGAAGCCTTTCACTTGGTTTTTTGCTGTTACATAAATTTCTCTGGGGGCTAAACTTAGCCCGTGAAATCCCTTCTAAGGCTCTTGGGGGAATGAAACCCAGCGTTGCCTGAACCTGCCTGCTAGTTTTCCTTGAGGGGAGGTTTGTGATTGCGCCAAAGCCGCGTTGCTCCTGCCCGCCTCCTGGGAAAGATCCGAAGCCCCGTTCGTGCCCGGAGCCGCGGCTGGCCCCGCCC